CCTGTCTCTACTAAAAATACAAAATTACCCAGGCGGGGTGGTGCATGCCTATAATCCCAGCTACTCAGGAAGGCTGAAGCAGGAGAATGGCATGAACCTGGGAGGCAGAGGTTGCAGTAGGCAGAGGTTGCAGTGAGCCGAAATCGCGCCATTGTACTACAGCCTAAACAACAAGAGCAAGACTCCATCTCAAAAAAAAAAAAAAGAGAGAAGAAATATATCTCCTTCAGTGTTAATCTCCTTCAAAAATGAGTATCAAGAATGTAAACATTAGGAACATTACCAAATACTCTACTCCTTTTATTGTATTTATATATCCAACTCATAGCAGCTTTTATGTAGCCTTTATTATATTTATATATCCAACTCATAGCTGCTTTTATGTAGCCTTTATTATATTTATATATCCAACTCATAGCTGCTTTTATGTAGCCACAACAAACTATAGTAGTGAGCCTTAGTCCACATGCTTGCTAACCAATATTACACTAAAACTATACACACAGGACAGGGAGAAACAAATGAACATAAGTCAATTTAGAAAACAGTGATTTGTCCCTTCCTGTCATATCCCTAAAATATTAATAAACTTCCAATCTCTCCACTCATCACAACTTACATCTCTCCCCATAACTTACCTCTCTCACCATCCTCCCTTTTTCTACTACAAGATTCTACCCAGGGTAACCAACGCAGGTGCAGGTTTCTTGCTGAGTGACTTTAAAGATGAAAGGCTCAATGGGAAAAACTATGGTGTCTATGACTCACTCAATGATAATCACAAAGCACTTGAACATCTATTATCACTTCTGTCCCTTATAACAGTCCTGTTAAGGGAACAGGATATCACTATTTTCATTTAGAAACAAAAAACTGAGGCTTCAAATGTTAAATTACTTACTGGATTCACAGAACTAACCAACTGACAGTTAATTCACAAAATTAATTGGCAATGGTAGAATCTCTTACCCCACATATCTCTCTCTTATCACTCCATGGCAAAAATTCTCAATAGTTATTTCCATCCTTGTTCTCCATAATCATCCCATTCCATACCAGTCTATAATCAACTATGTCACAGAAACTGTCCCTATCCCAATGAACGGTCTCCAGGTGCCAAATCCAACGTCCAGTCATCTGTGCTCTTAGCTGTCTTCTCAGCAGCATTTGACTAGGTGATGACTTTCTTCGAAATGTTTCTCTCTTGGCTTCCTAAACACTCTTCCTGGTTGTGCCTCTGCCTCATTGGCTGCTCCTTCTTTCTCCTTTGCTGGTTCTTCCTCCTCCCAGCCTTGACATATTAAACTGGCCCAAGGTTCAGTTTTCAGACCACTGTCTATTCTCACTCTTTAGTGATCTCACCTAGTGACATTGGTTGATATTCCTTTTGATGCCAATGATTTCCAAATGGGTATCTCTCTCTCAACCTGCCCATAAAACAGGAGCTTCCACCCATGTGCATGGAGGTGCTCAGATAACCAACTCCAGAGTTAATGTTTCTGCCTGCCACAGGAAGCTTATCAGAAATCCCCTTATCCAGTATGATAAAAGTTTGGTTAAAATTTTCAAAAGTTGAAAATTCTCAGTCTGAAACAGAGACTCATTCAAAAGAAGAAAAAGATGTATATCTTACACATACTCTTTTTATTTAAAAGACAAAGGGTCATTCTATTTGTCAATCTCTTCATAGAGGACCAAAGCCTTTTCTTTGAATGTGGGTCCACAAATAAATACTCCATACCATCTTTCTTGCATAAACTATAACACAATGAATTGTCCCATGATTTCAAGTGTCATTTTATTTTAAATAGAACAAGAACATAAAGACACCAACAAAGCATTCTAAGTACAGAATGCTTCTATATTTTTATTATTGTTCTCAATCTTTTATAACAGGCATGCCCATATTTAATTCTACAGCAATTTTTCATAAAACAACTCTGCTTTTCCAAGTTAGTTTTCAGACAATTCTCTTAGTTTTCCAACAAACTCTCTTTTTAAACTCACTACTCATCAGTTTACGTGAGACAATGAATTATGTAATAACAACGATTAAAACAGCAAGCAGAATGAGGATCTTGGTGGCATATAATTCAAATGAAAGGAACAGAGGCGGATGATACACCAAAATGTATTGTATTAACTCTGGATATTTAAGGTGCTATTGGCATCAAGTAATAGGTTTTATGGTGAAAACGGAAAGCACTGGTCAATCTGAGCCCATTAAGTTGGAGATGGGTTAAAAAAGTTACTGATTTCCACTGCCTACTTCTACCACCAGAAAGCCGTATTTCCCCAGCTCTACTCTTTTAGTAAATGGCAAATATCCAACTGCTAAGCTAAAATCCTTAAATCCTCTGCTCAGCTAAAACCCTTAATTCCTCTCTCTTTCTTACCAATAACTAAGGCATCAATATTGTCTTTCTAGAAACCTTCAAAATATTTTCTGGATATATTCACTTATCGTTATCTCCATCCCTATCACCTATAGTCCAACGTGCCATAATCTCCAAACTGTAATGACTTTGTAACTAGTCTCCCAACTTCTATTCTTACCTCTCCCCTGGACTGATTCTTCACATAGTAGCCCAGGAAGAACTTTGCAAAATGGGAATGAGACAGCACTGTTTCCCTACTTTAAACTCTTCAATGGCTAGCCACTATTCTTGAATAAAATTCAAACTCCTTGCCATGATCTACCAGGTCCTAAAGGAGCTAGCCCATACCTACTTCCCCAGCTTCATCCCATACCATTCTCCCTTTGCTCACTGCTTTGGGTACACTGACTCTCCTCTCCATTCCTCTAATATGCTAAAACTCCCACAGGGCCTCTGCACATGCAGCTCATTCTGCTTGGAACACTCTTCCACTGACTCTTCATAAAAGCCACTCATTTTTCATATGTCACCTCAAATGTTATCTCCTCATAAGCGTCTCCATTGATCATCCTATTTATATGCTAATATGTCTCCTTCTGCTAAAAGGTAAGGTCTCATTAGAACATGAGCTTCCTCCATCTTGTTCACCATTATTTTCTTACTATCCAGTTCAGTACCATTTCCTGAACGGAAAAATGAACTACTTGATTAATTCCAGCTGAAAATATTCTCTATGAGATGCAGTGAAATTTCTGTACATAAAAATCCTAACCTGATCTCCACAAAAAGAACGGTATGAGAATTTCACAGCAGCTTCATTCGTAATAGTAAAAAACTGGGAAAAAAAATCAAATGTTCATCAACAGGAAAACAGATAAACAAATTAAAGTGCATTTATATTAGGAAATATTACTCAGTAATAAAAAAGAATAAATCAGTAATACAAAGTCTAATAAATGTTTTTTGTGAAACAAGCCAAACAGAAAAGAGTACATTCTGTATGATTCCATTTATATAACGTTCAGAGCAAGAAAAAGCATTTATTGTAATAAAAATCAGAACAGTGGCTGCCTACAAGTTGGAGACTAACTGGAAACAAGCACAAAAGAACTGGAAATATTCTATAACTTGATAGGTGTATGGTTTACATGGGCATATACGTTTATAAAACCGATTAAATCATTTACACTATGCAAATTTTATTACAATTTTTTTTTTTTTTGGAGACAGGGTCTTACTCCATCACCCAGGCTAGAGCATGGTAACACGATCATGGCTCACTGCAGCCTTGACTCCCCAGACTCAGGTGATTCTCCCACCTCAGCCTCCTGAGTAGCTGGGAGTACAGACATGCACCCACATCCAGCTAAATTTTTGTACAGATGGGGTTTTCCTTGTTGCCCATGATGGTCTCAACTCCTGGGTTCTAGTAATCCACCCACCTCAGCCTCCTAAAGTACAGGGATTGCAGGCATGAGTTACTGGACCCAGCCTATCATGAATTTTTAAAAAGGCAAAAAAGTCCTAAATTCATTCACTCGCACATCACATCCGATGTAGAAACCCAAGAAATAGACTATTCACCATCATAAGATCTACTTATTAATTTGTTCATCTGCCTTGTAAATTCTTACTCTTCGCAGGCAGAAAATTAAAAAGGTTTGCACCAAACTGAGTGTCTTGTGGCAACACAGCAAGAAAATATCTATCACTACAAAAGATGATGAATTATGCATTTATACATAAGTAAACCATATAAAAGTATGACACAAAGGACAAAACAGTATGTAAGCCATTACAGAAGAACTAAACAATAAGGAATATTGATGAATGCTAAGGTACATCAAATGACTATGTGACCTGGGACACCTATCATGAGTTGTGTGTTAAGGAACCCCTAAGCCACAGGCAAGAATGCTGTAGTTTTCAACTTCTTTCTATCCCTAAAAACATCTGAATACAATATGTATATTTTCTTATACTCTACTCCCTAAACAGTCATGTTAAGAATCACTATATAGAGCTGTAAGAACCAAAACAGTAGCCACGAGCCAAATGCAGCTATTCAGAAATTAAAACGAGGCAAGGACAAATGGAAAGCTGAATTTTTAATTTTATAAAATTTTAATTAATTTATAATATATTAAACTATTAGAAAGATTTAAGTATACCTGTAATAACTTGGAATGTAAATTTACTATTTCACAGTAAATTTTTATGAAATATAAATACAGATCAAATATTTCTAATAAAAATTTAGTGTTATAATTGAGACGTGGAAAATTTAAACTGGTTATGAAGACTTAATACTAAAAAAGATCACGTAAAATAGCTCATTCATAAGTTTTCCCTGATCATATTTCAAAGTTATATTTGAGATTCACTGGTTTAAATATGTTATTGAAACTAATTTCCCTTGTTTTTTTCTACTTTCTTTTTCTCTTTTATGAGCCTAATATTACGAACATTTTTTTTTTTAAATGTAGCTACTGAAAAACTTTAAAGTATATACGTGGCACACACTCTATTTCTACTGAATAGTACTGTCCTAAAGCTTGTATCTAAATGCAGAAGATACATCATTATGATACATTAATTTGAATATTTCAAACATCTCCTGACCTTTTCACTTGATTGTCTTCTTTTCTTTAGTTGAATAAAATCTGTTTCCACCCTTTCTGCCAGCTCTAGTTTCCTCTTGTTTCTTTTAAATGCAGCTAAACTGAATCCTATAAAATAAAATAAAATAAAAAACATTAAATATAACATTTAAGAAATACTAGGGCAATGAGTCAAATAAGATAGCTGAAGAGCCTTCCCGGAAGAAAATCCTTAAGAATGTTAAATTAAGGGTTTAAAAAGTATTTTCAAGGTATACAGGGATAGTAGGAAAATAAGAGAAATAAACTAAGTTTTTAAAATTAAGAAAAAGGTCAAACCCAGAGAAACAAAGGCGTCCTGAAGGTAGACACTACCCTCTCCGTATCTGTTGATGCATGCCTCCTCCAACTGTGGTTTTAAAGGTCTCTGCGCATAGGAGGTAAGAGACGAAACTTGGGCACAACGCAGTACGAGAAAACACACTGGAGATTATCCAGAAAGAAAGGAGAGAGTCTCAAAGGTTGATATGCCCAGTGAATAGTAGAATGAGAAAAAAAGTCACCAGGCACCAAAACATAAGAAAAAGTAAACAAAACATTTTTTAAACCAGAAAACTTGCAAGTCTCAGCTTTGGTTCTAGATGTAAAGAGGAAACATCTCCCTAGAAATTTCATGACTAATGAGGGCATTTAGATAGGCTTCGAGTAGAATTCTTATTACCTGTGAGACCCCAGGGTAAAAAAGTGATCTCAGTGTACCAGTGCTTCAAAGGGCCCCCAAACACAAATGCAAATACTCCCTAGAAAAACAAACTGGCCTTAACTTATCCAGACCTCAAAGAACCCTATGTTTCAATCAACATGTGCTCATAGTTTTAAAAGAAAATTCACAAAACAAATAAGAGATAAACTACCAAGAATAAAAGCCAGCCAAATATCAGAAAGCATAATCTGAACCACAAAAATCTCAGATACTGGAATAATCAGATAAGAATATAACATATGTTTATGCTCAGAGAAATAAAAGAAATATATCAAAAATAGGATTAAGCAGCAAGATGATAAACTGACCAGGCTGAATTGAAGAATAAATAGAGCTTCAATCCATCAATAAATAAAATAATCAAAATTTTAAAACTTGATATATAAATTTTAACAGCCAATTAGATCCAGCTGATAAGAGAAATTACAAACTGGAACATAACCCTGACAAAGTTACTGAGTAAAGTTTTCTGATAATGGCAGACTAAGTTATGCAGAGTAATTATCCATGGAATATTTCTAAAAATGTTGGGTAAAATATTTAAAATACCACCTTAAAAGCACTCAAAACTTTACAAGTACTAAGCTAAATTCTTGGGTAAACTGTGGATTATTGCACTGTGAACATTTGCCAACACTAGCACACTTGCATTTGACTAAATGGCATCAAGGAGAGGGATACGTCAAGCCCAGAGCCTATTAAGAGTAGACAGTTTTATAGGAGACACTCCCCACAATAAACTGGGAATTTAAAGGGCTAATTCTCTTAGAGTAAAGCTAATCCATAACTAAGTCCATTACTCCCTCTATCTCAAAAGCAAATGCATGCAGTCAATATTGTCCCAGATTATAGCAGAGCATGAGACTAAGAAAAGATTGGGGGAGAAAACAGGGAGAAGGCAAAGAAAAAGAAATAAAGTATTCGAAAGAGGTGGGGAAAGAAAACTATCTCTAAGAAACTTTTGGTCTCATGGGGCCCTTGCATAGATTTGCAAATACACACACTGTACAATCCCAGAAGGAAAAGAAAGAGAGAAGGAGAAGATGGTTAACTTGAAGAAATAGTAACTGAAAACTTGCCAACTTTGATGAAAGATATGAACACCCAAGACATAAACACTCAAGAAGCTCAAGGAACTCCAAGTAGGAAAACTGGGAGAGCCATACCAAGGCACATTACAATCAAATTGTCAAAGACCAAAGACAAAGAGAGCATCTTGAAAAGCAGATTATCACCTACTAGGGATCCTCAATAAAATTATAAGCAGATTTCTCATCAGAAACTTTGGAAGCCAGAAACAGTGGGTTTATATATTCAAAGTGCTGAAACAACAAAAGCATCAACCAAGAACCCTGGCTGTGGCCAAAAGGTCCTTCAAAAATGAGGGGCAAATTGAAATACTCTCAGATAAACAAAAACTGAGATAGTTCTTTTCTACTGGACCTACCCTGCAATAAATGCTAAAGGAAATCCTTCCAGTTAAAATGAAAGAACCTTAGACAGAACTCAAAGCTGTAAATAAACAACGATCTCTGATAAAGATAAATACATGGACAAGTGTAAAAGATAGTCTTATTGTAATTTTGGTTTCTAACTATGCTTTTTGTTTTCCACATGATTTTATTTATTTATTTATTTATTTTTTGAGACAGAGTCTCCCTCTGTCGCCCAAGCTAGTGTGCAGTGGCACAATCTGGGCTCACTACAACCTCTGCCTCCCAGGTTCAAGCGATTCTCTTGCCTCGGCCTCCCAAGTAGCTGGGATTACAGGCACGCACCACAACGGCTGGCTAACTTTTTGTATTTTTAGTAGAGACAGGGTTTCACCATGTTGGCCAGACTGGTCTCAAACTCCTGAGCTCAGGTGATTTGCCCACCTCAGCCTCCCAAAGTGTTATAATTACAGGTGTGAGCCACCATGTCTAGCTTATTTTCTACATGATTTTAGAAACTGAAGTATTAAAACACTATCAGTCTGTTTTGGGACAAACAATGGGAAAAGATACAATTTTGTAAAAGAGGGTTGAGATAGAGCTGTATAAGAACAGAATTTTTATTTGTTATTGAAGTTAAGCTGGTCTAAATTCAAATTAGAATGTTATAATTTTAGAATGTTAAATGTAATCCCCATCATAACCACAAAAAAAAAGCAAGACAATATACACAAAAGAAAATGAAAAAAGAACAACACAATAAACCAAGTAGATCTAAAAGATATAAACAGAACACTCTATTCAACAACAGAATTCACATTCTTCTCAAGTTCACTTGACATATTTTTCCAAAATGTCCCATTTGTATGTGAGCACAAATCGAATCTCAATAGATGTAAAAGATAGGTATTGTACAATGTACCTTCTCCAACTGTAACAGGATGGAGTTAGAAATCAATGGTAGCAGAAAAGTGAAAAATGCACAAATTGTGAAAACTAAAATACAGAAAGAAATCACAAAGGAAATTAGAAAACGCTTAGATGTGAATAAAAATTAATACACCAAAACTTACAAAGTGCATCAAAAGCCTTATGAAAGAAAAAATTTTAGAGCTATAAACACATTTAAAAAGAAAAAAAGATTTCAAACAACAACCTAGCTTTAAAACTTAAGGAACTAGTAAAAGAAGAATTAAACCCAAAGCTAGCAGAACAAAGGAAATAAAGATCAGAGTGGAGATAAATAAAATAGATAATACCAAAAAAAAAAAAAAAAGAAAAACAAATAAAACCAAAAGTTCATGGAAAACATTAACAAAATTTAAGATCTTTAGCTAGATTAAGAAAAAAAAAGACAAATTACTATAATCAGAAATCAAAGTGGGGACATTACTACTGATTCTTCAAAAATAAAAAGTATTAAAGGCCAGGTACAGTGGCTCATGCCTGTAATCCCAGCAGTTTGGGAAACCAGTGTGGGTAAATCCCTTGAATACAAGAGTTTGAGACCAGCCCGGGCAACATGGTGAAACCCTGTCTCTACAAAAATACAAAAAATTAGCCAGGCATGGTGGCATGCACCTGTAGTTGCAGCTACTCTAGCGGCTGAGATGGGAGGATTGTCTTAGTCTAAGAGGTCAAGGGTGCAGTGAGCCACGTTTGTGCCACTGCACTCCAGCCTGGGCAACAGAGCAAGACCTTGTCTCAAAAAAAAAAAAATTATATCTCTATATACGTGTGTGTGTGTGTGTGTGTGTGTGTTGTGTATGTGTATATGTGTGTATGTATGTATGTATGTGTATATATATGTGTGTATACATATACACGTGCACATATATATATATATGCATATATGCACACACATATAAATAAGAGAATTCTATGAAAAACCGGGTACCCAAATATTGGATGACCTAAATGAAATTAACAAAGTCCAAAACCACAAAACCTACCAAGACTGCATCATGAAGAAACAAAATCTGAATTAACCCATATCTAGTAAGGAGACTGAATCAATAATATAAACTCTCCTGGCAAAAAAAAAAAAAAAATTCCCAGACTTCATGGCTTCACTGGAGCATTCTACCAAACATTTAAACAATAAACACCAAAAAAATTAACAAAGAGGAAACATTTCCAACGTCATTATATGAGGCCAGCATTATCCTAATACCAAAATCATACAAAGACACCATAAGAAAGTTACCAACCAATACTTCTTACGAACGTTGATGCACAATTCCTCAACAAAATACTGCCAAACCAAATGCAGCAGCATATTAAAAGGATAATACACTATGACAAAGTGCAATTTATTCCTAAGAAGCAAAGGTCGTTCAACATATGAAAATCAATGTTATACACCAACATTAACAGGATGAAGGGAAAAAGCCTTTTGATCTTTTTTTTTTTTTTTTTTTTTTACTATGTTGCTCAGGCTGGTCTTGAAGTTCTGGCCTCAAGTGATCCTCCCACCTCAGTCTCCCAAAGTGCTGGGATTATAGGCATGAGCCACCCCACCCAGCATGATCATAAATGGATGCACAAATAATCATGTTACAAAATTCAAAATTATTTCATAATAAACACACCAAACAAACTAGAAATAGAAAGAAACGACCTCAACACAAAAAGGCAAAATGTGAAAAGCCCACAGCTAACATCATATCTATGGTGAAAGACTGAAAGCTTTTCTCCTAAAATCAGAAACATGACAAGGATATGTACTTTCACCACTTCTAGTACTAGAAGTCCAAACCTAATATTAGAAGTACTAGAACTAGAAGTCCTAGAAGTACTAGAAGTCCCAGCCAAGGCAATTAGGCAAGGAAAAGAGGTAAAAGCCATTCAAATTGGAAAGGAAGAAATAAAATTATGACTTGATCTTATACTTGGAACATCCTAAAGATCTCTAACCCCACCCCCCAACACAA